CTGCTGCTGCTGGCCCCTGCAGCAGCCCGAGCTTGGACGGGTTGTCAATGGTGTGCGGCAGGCGCGTGGCCTGCCTGCAGGTGGCGCCCCCATCAGTTGACACCTCCACCCGCTCGATGCCGCGCCCGCACCCACTGCTGCGTACCCGCGAATGGTGATCTGCAGGGGATGGAAGAAGGGAGGGAAAGGGGTAGGTCGGGTTGGTTGGTGTGGGAGGTAAGAGTGGTTGAGTGCGCGAGAGGGGAAGCGGTAGGTGTGGGGATGGTGGATTATGGATACAGGCGGATTGATGAAGCTGGAGTTGTATTGGATGCAAGAAAGGCTTCCAGAGTTTTCGGCGTAGAGAGTGGGAGAGTAAACGGAAGGGAATGAGGGCGTGAATGCTCGAGGTGCCAGGAGAAAAGAAGGAGAGGAGAAGAGGGGATGAGCGGAGTGCAAGCCATAGTGGGGGCCGGGGCGATGGGAGCACTCACAGGACCTGGCTGCACTGCGTCCCCCACTGCAGGCTCAGTTATGGCGGACTGAGAGGTGGCACATGGATGGGGTTGGAGGGGCGGGGAATGGATGGATACGGATTTAGGCAAGCAGGCCGCACGGCTGGCGCCATGGAGATATAGCCCTGACTCTAATGGAGGACACACAGGACAAGACGTGACATGCATGTGAAAAAAACAGGGAAGAGGGGCAAGACATTACATGACATGACATGGCATAGTATGGTATGGTATGGTATGGCATCATGGCATGGCATGGCTAGGCACGGCAACATGGCATGGCTTGCTCCCCTTCACCTGGATAGGGAAGTCCATGATGGGCGGCGGGTGTTCCACTCGATGTTGTGCCAGTCGATGTTAGGCGGGAACATCTTGTAGTCGCGCTGCATAAAAAAGCCCTGCGACTCGTGCGACAGCACGTCAATGCGATCCAGCCACTTCACCGAACGCGCCCCGATGACCCCGGGAACAACGATGCGCAGAGGGAAGCCGTGGTCTGGAGTGAGGTCCTGAGGGGCGGGGGAGCATGTCAGGGAACTGAGCAAAATGAGAGGGATGCAGATGGGGAGAGTGCCTATTGAGACAAAGGAGTGAGAGGAGGTTAAGGGGGAAGGGGAGGCTGAGCAGGGAAACGAATGTTCAAGAGCGAGAGAGAGAGCGAGAGTGAGAGCGAAAGAGAGAGAGGGGGGCTTGTGGTGGGGGTGAGGGTGGGGGGGGTGGGGGGTGGGGAAAGGGAGGCCGATAACTGAAGACGTTTACCTCTCCATTCATCTTGTAGGCGAGGAGCACATCCTGCTCAGGCGAAGAGGCATGGATGAGCGGCAGAGAAGCCTTGTAGGGACCTCCCTTCTCCTCCTAAGGGACGGCAGAGGGATGGATATAGAGGGGAAGGTAAGAGGGACGCCGAGAACAGAAGAGGAATGAGAGAAGAAAGTGAACAGCAGGGAGATGTGAGAGAAGCAGGTGAAACAGCCGAAGCACACCAATCAATGGAAGAGGAGGCTAGCAGGAAAATTGCACCGCGAATAGAGAGGTTCGAAGGGTCATTTCAACCCTGTCCACCGGGCTGCACCGCTCTGCATCAGGTATCACCTCACAGAGTGTGAGAGCGGGCCAGGGGTGAGGGAGCAACGCCGGCACACACCGGACAGATGTCAACGCTGGTGAACTCCACGTGCTTGCCGCCTGCCGAGGTGCGCGTGGAGCGCGGGTCTACTCCTGCTAGCTGCAGCACGTGCGATAGACGCACCCCCGTCCACGTGGCTGGTCCAGGGGGGGGGGAGTGGGGGAGGGGGAAGAGATGGGGACAGTGAGTGGGGGTATGGGGGGGTGAGATTGGTGGTGAGGGGGAGGGAGAGGGGTAGGAAGGGGCAGAAGTGAGTGGGTATAGCTCATGGCTTTGTAAGGGAAATGCAAGCTGCCATGGAGCAGGGCGGCCATAAATGCATGGCAGGGCGGCCACAAATGCATGGCAGGGCGGTCATAAATGCATGGCAGGGCGGTCATAAATGCATGGCAGGACGGCATGGGTCTCACCATTGCCAATGGCAGCCTGGGACCATCCCACGCCCTTGACCTTGCGCCTAGTGCTCATCTCCGTGCGCCTGTTGCCGGCACACTGTGGGGGGGGGGATCACATGGGACGAGGGCCGATGAAGAAGTGGGGAGAGAGAGAGCGCGAGACAGACCAGGGGTCAACTTAAAGCAATCGAAGTGAGGAGGAAGATAGTCCGAATCCAAGGTGAACAAGAACAGACGATGCAGAAGGTGGTGCCGGTGGAGCATGGCATGGAGGAGACCAGCCAGCATGGAGGAGACCAGGCGGCATGGAGGAGACCAGGCGGCATGCAGTGTTTCGCGGCTGTAAGTGACTATCCATGGTACAAGCAAGCAGTGCGGATGGGCTCACCATCATGGTCGCCACGATGGTCTCAGCTGGCATGGACCTGCAGCGCCCAGCAAGAAACGAGATGGGAGGATGAGGAGGAGCGAGATGGATGGCTGAATGGTTTGAAGTTATGCCAACATGAAAACGGGAGATTTGGCACAAGGGACACTTGCAGGGATGGGAGGACATAGTAGAGCACAGTCAAAAGGGGTCGGTTGGTGAGGAGGAGGCGTGACGAATGCATGCATGAAAACAGATGGGCGGGAAGAGGTTGAGAACGAGATGGATGGGTGGCAGTGGCAGTGTGTAGTGAGTATTGTGTGGGGGAGGCGGTGGAGAAGCTCACTTGATTTCCTGGAGGGAGAGCGCGAGCGGCTTGGGCACAAGACCGCCCACTTGAAGACGATAGCTGTGGCGGCACTCACAGACAGGCATGCACGCATGCACCCATGCACACATACAACCATGCACAATGCACCCATGCACACAGGCACGCATGCACACAGGCACACATGCACGCATGCACGCATGCACAGATGAATACGTTAACACATGCACACGGGCAGCCATGAGCATCTATGTCACCTCAAATATCCTGAATAAGCACAGACTACTCTGGCAAAGCTTGAAAGCCGACTAGCCCTTCCTTCCCCCACCCCCATCCCCACCCCCACCCTCCCTCCCACTCCCTCCAGCACCATCAGCACCATCAGCACCATCAGCACCATCAGCAGCAGCAGCAGCACGACCGTAGAGTAATCAAAGGGCGCCTGGCATCCACGTGGCAGCGCGGCTGGCATCCCACCTGGCGGCGTCGTCCAGCACGGGCGTGGGCCGTGGCTGCGCACGTAGAACGCATCCGCGCCCGTCACGAACGCCGTCCCCAGCAGCGAGGGGGCGTCTCCGCGTTGTACGGCGCCTGTGGCGGGGCCGTAGGGAAAAACGAGTGATCAGGTACGAGCGTGGGGCGGTGGGAGGGAAGCAGGGGGAGAGCAGAGGTGCTCGGGTGAAAAAGAGCCAGGAGATGCATGTCGGTCACTGAGACCTATAAGAGCGAAGCTGAAGCGAAGCAAGGAGCGTCCAGCTCGGGAAATCAGGAGCGAGAATATAGGCTACGCAGCGAATCATCCAGGATTGTGGATCTGATTCGCGAATCGCGAGCAGAACCATCGCATCCTGTCGCGTCCAGTCGCGACCTGGAACGATAGATCCCTGACAGCGTCATCGAAAAATAAATGAGTGGCCGGAACGCGTGAGACGTCGGTGGGCGAACCTGGTAGTTAACGATCATGTCGGGACGCCGCGTGGGCTCGGCGTCGTACGTCGTCGGACCGCGGAGACCCATTTTCCGGCGCGGGGGAAGCCGCACTACAGCACAAGATGCTAGCCGACGGCGGTTCTAATATGGGATCGAACACAAAGAGCAGTCACGAGGGGAATACGGGGGCGGGGGGGGGTACAATACAGAAGTAAGCTTGCCCAAGCAGAACCTCGCTCTGGCTCTGGTGGAATATAAATTCGCAACTCCGAGGTAAATCTGGCTGTTTGGCTGCGCGAGGTGATACTGCACAGTAGACTGCACCCTGCTAGGCTGGCTGGGGAGAAAATGGCGGGAAAACAGACTCTGGGGAGGAAGGAAGCCAGCCAACATCGAGGTGGTGGTGGACGCGGCGCGTGCGTGGGTTCAGAGTGTGGTTCATGTCGGGTTCGCTGCTGCTGACGTGTCGCTGGTTCAGCCGGGGTTGTGGCAGTTCGTACGTACGGAGACGCATTTCGTTGGGCGATGTGTCTTTGTTCGATGAACATCGTACGGTCACTGCTGTGCTGGTCTGCGGGAAGTGGGGGCAGGGGCAGCTCAAGGGAGCATGGCATTCCTGTGATTTTCCTGCGAAGTCTCGCTTGTGGCAGACTTGAACAGAGTGACAAGCCTCGGTTAAAAGGTATGAAGATTCTAACTCAGCCTAGCCATAGAACAAGCAGAGTAGCGCGGAAATGAATAATGAAGTGTTCACCTGCATCATTGACTGACGATACAAGGAATGGCAAGCCAAGATATAGGAACACCAGAGCTAGTCTAACCCTGCGATGGTAAGGTTCGGGAAGGAGATCGAAGGGTCTCGAAGTGACGACGCGAGGCCCGGAGAACTCCCGAAGGTCGAACCGAATATGGAGAAGCCGAGGCGGTTCTGTCAGAAGGTCTGGAACAGTCCCGAGGCTTCAGGTGTGTTTGAGCGTACGCGATAGCAGTACCGCTCGGTAAGGAATGGAAAATTCCTTACACCACCCCCCCCTTAGCGAAGGTGATCTATATCAGCCACGTGCTTGCGGTCCAAATATTCGCAAGTATCGAAGGTGACTGTATCTGGTCCGAGGGCACCCACGTGTCGTCCTCACTAGTACGATTGGTCCATCGTATTCAGAAAGTCAACGTGTCGTCCGTGACCGCGATACGAATCCGATGGCTCAGGATCTTCGAAGGCTCGATGGTTGTCTCGGCTGGTGGCCGTACGTCGGGGACCAATCGCTGTCGGGCGATGTCTGACGTGTCAGGAACGAAGGGTCGCAACAGGCTCACATGGAATTTGTTGTGAATACGCCAGTCATCAGGCAGGCGCAACTGGGCGGTCACCGGCGTCACCATCTTCATGATCTTGAATGGGCCACAGAAACGTGGTCGTAATTTCGTCGGTAGTGGTAGTCGTAAATTCTTGGTGTCCAACAGGACTAGTTGCCCTATCGTCATCGTAATATCCCGTCGATGTAAATCCGCATACCGTCGGGCCGTTGCGTTCGCCTTGCGAATCAGTTCGACAGCTTTGTCTCGGGCAGTCTGTAATTCTTCGACGAACTGTTGCGATCGTGGTACTTGACTCTCAATGTTGGTGGAGACTAGTACTGTAGGGTCCATCCCGTAATTGAGATAAAACGGGGAGTGATTAGTCGTAGCTGAGGGCGCGTTGTTGTAGGAAAATTCCAACATGGGTAGCACGTCCTCCCCATTTTTTTCGGTCGGCGGCAGTTTGTCCGAATCAGCTGCTCCATCATTTGATTTGTCCTTTCCGTCTGGCCGTCCGTTTGGGGATGATACGCGGATGAGAACTGTAGACGCGTGCCGTACCGAGCCACGTGTCCTGCCAGAATTTTGACGTGAACTTCGGATCTCGATCGCTAATGATTGCTGCTGGTATCCCGTGTAGGCGAATGACGGTCGAGATGAACAGGCGCGCTGTTTCTTCGGCTGTGATGGTTGTACGACATGGGGCGAAGTGCGCCATTTTCGTCAATCGTCGACGACAACCAACATTGCGTCGTTTCCGCTGGGTCCGGCCGGTAGTCCCGTAACGAAATCCATCGTTACGTGTTGCCATGGGCGTTGAGGTGGCTCGAGGGGCTGCAACAGTCATGTAGGTCGCTGGTGTGAGGATTTCATTCGCTGGCAGATCGCACACGCGGCCATGTAACGCTGCACGTCCGTCACCATATCTGGCCAGTAATAAAACCGCTGCAACGCCTTCAGAGTTTTATCAACCCCGAAATGTCCCGATAAATTCGAATCGTGGACTTCTTGAATTAGTAATTCGCGAAGAAGACGATAACTTGGAACCCAAATTCGATCTGTTCCGCTTCGTAAGTAATAGACGCCTTTCCGTGTAGTGATTGGGAGATGGCCGTTATTTACGAAGAAGAGGTCAGTCGAATACCCGTGGGTAAATAGTCCACTCAGTAGCGGTTGCTCTGGGCGACTAGTACTGCTGCGAGTTGGGCAGATGGCCTGGAAAGGGCGTCGGCAATATTGTTGGCGCCTTTTTTTGTACGTGATCTTGTACGTGAAATTGGACTCCAGATAGTCCAGCCAGCGTATCTGCCGCGGGTTGAGGTTCGGCTGCGCCCGTCAGGTACTGTAGTGGATTTGTGATCGGTTCGCACCGTCACGTCTGCTCCAGTCAGGTAGCACCTCTAGATTTTGAACGCGTGGACGATCGCCAGCATCTCCTTGTCGTGTACCGGGTAGTTGCGCTCAGCAGATTGCATTTTCCGAGACTTGTACGCGATTGGTTGAAGCCCGTTGCCGAACTCCTGCATGAGCACTGCTCCGATGGCGATGTCACTTGCGTCGGTGATGACTTCGAAGGGCCGTTCCGGGTCAGCGATGCGAAGGACCCGGTGGCGACATTAAAAGTTGTTTTAATGCCTCGAACGCAGCTTGCTGCTTCTCCCCCCACTCGTAAAAAGTCCCCTTCTGCAGTAGGTCGGTTAGAGGTTCAGTTAACCCCGCCATGTTGGGTATAAATCGCCGTACGTAATTCACGAAACCCAAAATGATTGCAGCTGCTGCAGATTTGTGGGCGGTTTCCACTCCTGAATAGCCCTGAGTTTTTTCGGGTCTATTCGAATCCCTTCCGTGGAGATCACCATGCCCAAGGAACTCCAGTTCTTGTTTTAAAAACTCGCACTTGGAGCCCTTGGTGATGAGTCGATGCTGCTGCAACCGCTGAAAAACCGCTTCCAAATCTTTTAAATGCTGCTCCCCGGGTCTTGCTGTAGATCAGGATGTCGTCCAGGTAAATTATGACGCATTTGTCGAGTAGATCGCGGAACACCCCGTTCATGGTGAGTTGGAACGCTGAGGGGGGCGTTCGTCAATCCAAACGGCATCACCGTGTATTCGTAACTCCCATAGCGAGTACGAAACGCGGTCTTGTGGCAGTCGTCAGCGAACACCCGAATTTGATGGTAACCGCCACGAAGGTCGATCTTCGAAAAGTAACGAGCTCCGCGAAGGTTGTCGATGAGTTCGTCCGTGTGTGGGATTGGGTAGCGCGATTTTATCGTTACCCCGATTAAGGGCACGATAATCCGTACACATGCGAAGGCCGCCGTCCTTTTTGGCGTGAACAGGATTGGTGCTAGCGAACGGTGAAGTGCTCGGCCGAATGAACCCTTTAGCCAACAGGTAGTCCAGCTGGTTCCGTAGTTCCTGTAGCTCCGGTTGAGTCAGGCGCCATTGTGTTCGTACAGTAGGTTGCGCGCCGGGCTCCAGCTCAATCTTGTGGTCCTGGGGTCGTTCGGGTGGCAATCCACTTGGCAAGTCATCCGGGACCGGAATCGCAGAGTTTTGTTGATGGTTGGTCGCCTCATTCTGCTCCGTCGATTCTGTGAGATGGACGGCGTATAAATCCGCTCCATCCTTGACCGCTCGCTTGAGGCACACCGCGTTGACTCGTGTCGAGGTCGTCTCTGCTTCCGGCCACGTCGGTAGTTTTTTGCCAGCCTTTTTTCGCACTTCACTGTGCACTCGCCTGTCGTCCAATTCGATCTGCGGGTTGAATCTCCGCAGCAAATCGCGTCCCAATAGCACATTGTAGCCGTCGAGTGTTGTCGCCAACATCGGCGCGCTGAAACCAAAATCGTCGCCGCACTTCATTCGAACGACGGGTATTTTGTCGCGTATCGCCAGCGGGGTGCCGTCCACCAATCGCGCGCCGATTTCGGGTAGACACCGCTCCAGCGTCAGGTGTAGTCGTCGTGCTGTCTCTCGATTTATCAGGCCGTGACTCGCACCTCCGTCGATGAATATTTTGACTTTTCTTCCGTTGACTCGTCCCTCCGCCAATACAGGGTGGTCCACTGGTTCATCCCCTTATTCAGCCGGGAGCGGTTGATAACATGTATCGGAACCACTACCCGGTGGGGATGGTGTTTTTCGGGCAATGAGGCAGGGTCAGTAGGGGGCCCGACCGCTACTGACGCTTGGCGTTTCCCGACCTGTCCTCGTCGTTCTTCTTTATCTGCTTCTTTCGGGGCAATCGTGAGATTGGTGACCCGGCTGGTGGCAGTTGAAACATTGTCCCTTGCGAAAATCGTCCATGTGCTCCTTCGCCACTACGCCGTGAATCGTGGGCCGTGGATTCTGGCCACGAAAACGATTTCCCTCCCGGGAACCCGCTCTCGCATACGTTCGATGCGCGTCGAAGTTATCTGCGATCCGGACGGCTTCGTGAAACGTCGCCGGCAGTCGCAGTCGGACCTCGCATTTAATGTCCTGCTTCAAACCCGAAATGAGTCGAGATTTCTTCTCGGAGTCATGCATGTCGGTGATTTGGTCGCATAACGCCATGAAGACTGACGCGTAATCCTGGACAGAACTCCACTGGCGCCAGTTGTCCAGCTTCGTGCGTGCGTTGTCCGAGGCGGATACTGGCTCGAATCATTCATGCAGAGCTGTACCCCATGCCTTCCACGTGCGAATCTTGGTCGATCCAAAAATCGCGGTTGACCCTTGGGCAGCAGACCCAAAGTTTCCGAAAAACCCCTGTGTGTCGCCTGCCAAAAACTCCCCTCCTGTAGAGTATATCGCCACCAATCTAGCGCAGGTCCCGTAGTAGTGATACAGCCAGTCGAATTTTTAAATCGTCAGCAGTGATCCCAGCGGCATTAAAAATAAGTTCCGCCGAAAAAAACCAGCCCGTAACAGTAGTATTCTTATCTATGGGGTTGAACGGGGGCGGCATTGTCGGTTTGATCGTCGCTGTCGTCACGATCGGCATAAACG